CAGATTGATCTGGTATCGAGCAAAGACCTTCAAACTTTGTCGTAAACTTGCGATTTTCATTTCTCATTGGTATAAACAAACCGAGACTCCAAAGATGTTATCAGAGAAAGCATCGCGCGTAATTGCGGTCGTTAATAATTGGAATTCCTGTCTGGAAGGCCAACCGAAGGCGCACACGCCATATCAAACATCGAGTAGATGCGACCGTGCGATAGTATTTTCTTTTTTTTTCCCAACTCTCCCCGTTTAATCGTAAGCGTAAAATTTATCTTCAATTAAGGAGTGCTTCCTAAGGCGTGCAATTAATAATTCTAATTAGTATTACTAGGCGAGTATGCGCTTTATCTAGATGACTATCGGATTTCCTCCGGAAATATTCCATCACGATAAACACCCAAGGATCTTCCATAAGCAAAGCGTAATTTCCTAATCGAAACCGTGATCAGTTTCAATAATCAATCGCGCCTCGACCGATTGCGTTTCGATCTGAAACGCGATACAATGATTCTAAGCGGAGCTGAGCGGATTATCCGGTTTCTTTCTTCGCATTTGCCTTGTATCTCGCTCTTCATTCGGCCGTAATATATGAAATATACTTGTGCCGCGGAATTTCCGCCATAGAGATTCCTGGATATTCATCATGATTATTTCTATCTACCCGCGAGCTCTTTTGCAATGTGCTGTGAGACGTAAACAGAAAAAGGGACTAGGCGAATGAGAGTAGTGCCGGGTATTAATTAAATACCGTTCCTGCACATAATGTATACCGAAAGCGTCCAGAGAGCAAAGCCCTTTTTTTTGCGCTTCATATTTCACTGGGAAAAAAAGTGAGAAGAGAATCAAACGATTGTTACACTCGTTGCAAGATTTAAACATTAATTCTCTTAATGTCGATGCAATTCATATCTCTATAGTAAAATTTTTATAAAATTAACTTCTTCTCTCAAATGTACAAATTCTCAATCTACAGTATATAATCATATAACAAAGAATCTCTGAGATTCGTGGAATAATCTCGCGAAATTAAAAAGATGTACTATTTGTAAAACACGATTGTTGTGTGTGGGCATGATTATTATTTTCATCCGTGTACAAAATATTTGCAGGTTTACCGCACGCGTACGGTGAGAATTCGAGATATTTTTGCATTCTTCTTCCTGAGATACAAAACTTCTTATTCCCAAGCAAAATACGAGGGACCACCCTATACGATACTACCCTATTGTTTCTCAGTTCCTTTGACGATGGCATCGCGCAGTGCTTTCTCATTGTCACGGTAACGTCACGTGCACCGAGACGGAAGTTTCCATTGCGCTGCAAGAAAGATCCAGACATCGAGAGTCGAGCTTCGCGACGATAATCCTCACAGTGCGCGAAAGACGGTAAGAAGAATGTCAATTAAGCGACTTCAGTGATGTTTCCGAGTGTCCGAGCGACACCGGCTTCCATCTCATCCTCTTCCATTTTTCCGTCCTTTCTCTTTGAAAGTAAACCGACAGATCGTTAAGGGAATATCACTCGCTTACCGGAGCAGAAAAGCATGCATAATTCGAAGGCTGTCTAAAGAAGGCCCAGCTCCGTGCTGGTTCGCGTGGTCGAAACCGTTTCCGGCGACCGTTCGCTCCGAGGATTTACGTTCTCGCGCACGGAGTATGATTTCGGAAATGACTACATGGTAGATTGATTATCATAAAAGATGAATAGAATAGGCGACCTATAAGTTGGTCAAAGACACCGCAATCGCAATTGCGTTACGAGCTAAATTCATTATTCATCGGATCGCCGATGGTTATAAATTCACTTTATCTGTCGATGTAAGATAGGATCGCAATGTATCAACAAAGATGCATTTGTCAATTCTCAAATTTTGATGGGACGTGTTAGATCATTCATCGATATAATCCGAATCTGACATTGAGCTATAGACCGCTTGTTTGTTTTTAAAGATGAAAAATAAAATCAATATGCTGTTTTTTACCCTATTGTTTCTCAGTTCCTTTGACGATGGCATCGCGCAGTGCTTTCTCATTGTCACGGTAACGTCACGTGCACCGAGACGGAAGTTTCCATTGCGCTGCAAGAAAGATCCAGACATCGAGAGTCGAGCTTCGCGACGATAATCCTCACAGTGCGCGAAAGACGGTAAGAAGAATGTCAATTAAGCGACTTCAGTGATGTTTCCGAGTGTCCGAGCGACACCGGCAGTAAAACGAAGGGTTTCGTAGTGGAGACGGAAAGGTGGAATGTAAAAAGAAGGGACGAGATACATAGGGTGGAAAAAAGAAAACTTCGAATTTCCACTTTCTTTCGACCTTACGCTTATCGATTATCCCTCGCCTTATAGTTGCTATTGCGTGATGTGCATAACTTTCTGCTTTCTACGTGAATTTTTTTATTCAAAAATATGTTTAGGAGAATTCTTCACTACTTGTCAATTTCATTACATAAGTTTTTCCTCGTCCTTCGTGTGCTCAACATAATAAGAAGCTGAATAAGCAATTTAATCCGCGCGATTGATAATGAAGGAATAATCGGTAAAGCTTATGATAAAAGAAAGCACTCTGTACACTCATTAATTATTCGCGGCGGGAAGACTTTGTGAAATTGCGCAAGTTTTCCCGCAAGGAGGTGGCAGGAGAGGCCACGGGGGAGACGATCGTTTTCACGAACTCTTGTTTCTAGAGCCGAGACTCATTTAACTCGGTTACGAACACAAACACGCTGTTAACAACCCGCATCGGAGGATCAAAGCCTCTTAAAGTGATTTCCTGGTCGCGGCATGGAATCGTCGGAGAATTCCTGTAATGATGTCTAATGAAATCAGACCCATACGAGACAAGCTTAAATGTCAGAGAGTTTTTCAGTCTGCCCATTGTGTATTTTGCGGAAAATGTCATGTGTGTTCCGAAATAAATTTTAAATACTATCCACCTTATTCGAGATGCAAATAACACTATGTTGCAAATAATTTTATTATGTATTATAGTATAATAAATGTTAATGTTTAATTTTCGAAATACAAGAAAGATACACGATTCGCTTTGATTTTCGATTATAATGCTGCTATAAAGTACATTTAATTCATTCGCTCAATGGGGGCGTTGAAAATTTAAATTACGCCATGCGAACGAGCGAGAACATGGCCATTAAAACCGATAACGTGCAATTTAATTTAGGGCGAGCGTATGCTCATGTTAATTACGAAACACTTTGCTACCATAATGGTCCACGCGTTCTTTTTTTTTAACATTACCTGATACGATTTTACAGCATTAAAACCGCTTTAATTCTGGATAAATAAGCTATTTTCGAATGAGTTTCAAAATAATAGTATAGATAGCATAAATTGCTATATAAATTGCTTAAAATTTGTTCTGAAGATATGATGTCATAATTTCGCGAATACTGTAATAAAATCTATGGATTGTGATTACTATGCAATTTTACGGACGATGATATTTAGATATTATAATCACTGCGCTTTCTATTATTTTAAAAGAGAAAAAAAAATCATAAAATGGTTTCTTTTCTAGAAATAGAACAAAGACAAGAAGCTCTCTCTCTATTCATGATTTTATTTGCAAAATTTTCCTAAATGCGACAATGCCAAAGTGGTATCAAACAAGTAATGTTGGTATAAGGTTGTTAGAAACTGCAATAGAGCCGGAATAATATGCAGAGAGAGACACGTATTGCAACTTTTGCGATCAAGGTGAAACTGTGCGAGACTCATATGCGTGAATCTTTAAAATTTACGGAACGGCATTGTTATATACGATGCGTCTCTCGTTTCGCTCATAATTACATTCATTTGTCGATTATCAAGTTTAATCTATCTCACCTTTCCCCCACTTTAGAATCCTTTTTTTACCATCTTAGCGCGGATATTGTACTTTTCAAAAAGAAAAAAAATCCTGTTCCATCCAAAAACCTTCTCCTCTTTTTACTTCTACTCCTCTTTCTTTCCGTCATTGTCTCAAGTCGTCAAATTAATCTTAATTAATTACGATGTTGCAAAATGTGCTCCGGATGATTGAAAACTCTATTAATTACGTTGAAATTTTAAAAATGATACACAGAGGTAGTAGAAGGAGGACATGGATAGGGACCACTTACCCTATCAATCGCATTCACCTCGATTCTATAGCCGCGAAAGAAGCCTCTCCGTGAAATTGGCATCGATCTGTTCCTGCTTTTATCGTTCCGGCGAAATTTCAGTGTCTACCGCCGTACACGACGTGAGACTATCGCGTGAGCGCTCCTTTTTTAATCCCGATGCAGGTAGAAATTCTCCGAAAGGCTCCGACGACGACTTCCCCGGAGAAATGTCTCGTCTCTCCTGTGTCTCACCCCATGACCCTTTTTCTTCTACCATCTTAGCGCGGACCACTGTACCTTTTCAACCCTCCGTTCCATCCAAAGCCTCCTCCTCCCCCCTTTCCTCCTCCTTCACCCTTCTCTGTTTCCGTCGTTGTCCCAAGTCGTCCATTCGTTTTCCAGCCTCCCTCGCCCTTCCCGTTCATACTACCCCTTTTCTCACTCTCAAGTTAGCCTTCTCGCTTTTATCGTTGAAGGCAGCAGATTTTCCTCATTTTACTTTTCAATCTCACGAAAGATGCGATTTTCTTCCTCATTTCCACTCTGACAATATTGAGGGAGCGCCGTTGGAGTAAAGAGAGAACAGAACCGGCAGTTCTAGAACTTTGTCGACAGTATCGTCGAGAAATGGAATACGAATGGATGGGCGAAAAGAGGAAGGGTGCGGCACACTAATCTGTCTATCTATCAGCTGTTAGTATTAGCGCGCCATTAGAGAATACGATTTGCTCTAACGACTACGAGCGATTAAATCGTCGTTTAAACGTTGCCAACTGCGAAGGCACAACGTGTTTCGAATTCGTTCCATTTTCTTGAGTTTACTCGCATTTTGAGCTTATTCGTAATTACATTGCTACAAGAGAATTTTAAAAGAAAAACGAAATTTCTCGCCTTTGACTTACCTCCAATACATGTTCCGCTTGATTCTCGCGATCGAGCTTTCTGCCGCTGGTGCTGATGAGACCTGTAACAATGAATGCAGTAGCGATTAGGAAAATGTCCGATCATTAATAACGCGATAAATGACGATCGAAAACGGGATATCTATTCGGGCAGGATAATAAAACGGTGGCACTTTGCACGATGATTCTCCCCTCGATAAAATCCCGCACAGAGGAGATACAGAGGAGTACAATTCTCGAATTGCGGGCGAATGGAAGAACCTCCATTACCGAGACAAAGATCGGCCCGATGAAACAAACTCGACGAAATTACAACGTTCAGATTTTGCGGCGCGGAGTACCTTGTCGTCTCTTTCAACCGCTGCGATATCGAGCTTTATTTTAACGTCGCACGGACGTACAGCCCTTTTATCATGGGCGTGGACATCGCCCAAAACTCAATTGGGCAAAAATTCGCGGACATGAAGTTACTGACGTTCGAGAAAAATTCTTCCAATTTACTACGTACTTTACGAGAAACGAATCAAAAAAGGACGAACGCTCGCAAATGCGTTCCTAAATTTGGCAAAATAAAAGATGTTTTTATAAAAGAATTAACTGGAAATATAAAAAAATATTTTTAAAAGGACATAAGTACGGTGTAGAGTTTGTCTAATGGAGGTGCGCGTGAAGCCTACACAGAGATGCAAGCGCGACGCTTCAACAAAGCGACACCGTCAGACAAAAAAAAGGAAGCCATGAATAGCGGGCGCGCAACCGCGTTGTATAAAGGCAAGAGCGGCTTTTTTGTATTAGTCTTACGGCTTCCGGTGTGTGACGGCCTAGATTTTATATTACACCGCGAGCTGCTAATCGAGTTACAAGGAAGCCGTTGTCGTTCCGCTCGGAGCCACGATCCGCCGCGCCGACAAGGCAGTGCTGACTCTCATAACTTTCGCTTTGCGGCCCCGTTATCATCAGCGTGGCGTGAATCCGAACTCGTACAACTGATACGTACGAAGCACTGCCATTAAAACAAACTAGTTTCACGTTTTCGTTGAGCCAAACGCTTCGTCCGCGTACTGAAGCGTAGGGTAAGAGGGCACCGTTATTAGAGCCGCGGTAGAACGAAAATGCAGAAACGCGAGGTGCGGAAATATGAATCATCTCAAATCTAATCTTCCTTGTTATTTAATCGAATTCGCCATTTCGAGCGAATTGATTAATCGCTCGATCCTTTTTTCTCGAATTTTATCGACAATTTCGAATGTAGCGACTTTTGGACGCGCGCATACTTTCCTTTTTATCTCTAAATAGAAAGCATGAGAAAAGGGGACGAAGACCGGAAAGACGGGCGGGAGCGGAAGTGCCGCGATGGACAGGAAAAAAGGGGAATTGAGGGAAATGGCGTTCGATCGTGCCGCGAACGTACAAGCGACCCTCGGCGCTGTAGAGCGCATTTAAATAATTGCTTTTCGTTTTCGTTCCTCACCCTCTGGATCGCGTCGAACCCGAGGGTTCGCCCCGACCTGATACGAATGCACACCCACGCACCCTCGCGCACGCGTGCACACGCGCGCGTTATTGCCAGCAGCGTGTTTGACCGCGAATAAGCCCGGAACAAAAAATTCGTTATCGGAAATCAGAGTGCGGGATCAGGCGAAATTATTTACGATATTATCCGCGACGCGGACAACACGATCGCAGGATGGTATAGCGATGCTGAATGAGAGTTTCGACAGGCGTAACGATGAATTTATTTTCTGTCGCGCGCGTGGATCCCAATGGACGTTTTGAGAGGACGTTTCTCGTGAAACGCTCGACGGAGTAATATTTTATGATGATAATGAAAAATACTGCGAGAGATAACGGGCTTCCGGAGCAACTTCCGGAATATCGTTTAAAAGACCGCTCGTTGAGAAAGTTTTTTATCGGAATTACTCCCTTATGACAAACCAAGATTATCTGTCTTTCACGAGGTTTTATGAAATTTGCCTAGGTCTCGCGCCTATATTAAAGAAATTGCGAGTATTTTATGGCACGAATAAAAGTCAAAGGGTTGATTAACTAGGTCAGCATGGAGCGTTCTAAAAAATCGAGACTCTTGTCGATGACATTTTGAGAATTATACTTATAGATATAGAGTATTCCATTACGTAAAAATAACACGTGTAAAATTTTTACGAGGGCGAGAGAGAAAATATTTTGATATTTTGTCACAATCTCTTGTCAGTTTCGCTGCCCTTATTAAAACATCGAGGCGCGTTAATCGAATCGAATTGCGATCGTTTATAACAATAACAGGACGCGAGCAATCAGCGACGTATATCCGTGATATAAAATCTCACATTTTTTTCATTTTTCGCGTAATTAATGAAATTAGTCGGACATACACGCGGAGCCGTTTAACAAAAAGCCTGGGATTTTTAAAAGCGACCCGCGGAGCACGGGCCATCAAAGCTTAGTGAGTTTAATTAATACCGCGTTTTACGTCCTATTTACCCGTTATATAACGGCACACGAACGAGGGGAGAGGAAGGGAAAAAAAGAGAAGAGGGGAAACATATTTTTGCAATGTGGCAACGTGTGTTACGCGCCAAAAGCGCGATTAACTGCGCGATTAGTTACACGGGGGTCGTGTGACGCTTACGATGGCAACGTGCTGTTCGTTCGCTCGTGTAAGCTCGTTCCCGCGGGCGAGGTCGTATTACTCGACCAAGATCTATCTAATCTAATTTCGTACTGCCGTATAACACCACCATTGTTCTCCATCGTCGTATCTTACGCTACGTGCCACTATAACTAGAGAGACCCCGCGTGCGAGTGCGCCGGTTAACACCTGAGATATGTCCAAACCTTCTCATGTATCGCGTTATGTTCTGTCCGAAATATCTTGTTACGAAAAGCACATACACGCTGGCATTCGTAACTAAATCGTCAAAGACTCGAAAAGAGGATATTATTTCATTGCCTCTATTCGAAATTCAGAAGAATGTTATTGCCTTTTTAACGCAACACGTGACTCCTCTGTACGTTTACGAAACTTTTATTTGCATGCATCAGGCTATAGTCTTGGATTGTAAAACAACACACTGCCTCGCGCCACATAATAATGTTAATGAGGGCGGAGAAACGACGGTGTGTAATCATAAAGCACGTGCATGCGATATACCGTGACGCGTTATTTCAGCGTGCATTCTAGGGCGCATGATAGAGTGTAGCTTTTTGCCGGGCTGACCTTTTCCATCGACATCGCCCCTTTCTCGCGCGACGTTCTGGGAGATTAAAAAAAAAAAACCTCGGTCTCTCCTTGCTTGTTATCGGGCGTTTGCGAAAATTGATCGAAAGACCGCGGCCGCGGATGATTGATGTTGCGCGGAATGCGCGCGAGGATGCAAAAGAGGGTGACCGCGCGTAGCGAAAGCGAAGGGGATGCATTAATCGAGTGACCCGGTGATTTAATTGCGGAAACGAGCTCCTGGCCTGGGGCCGCTCTCTGCAAAAAGGCGATACGCTTTTACAGCGAAGATCCTCCAATAAAAGCAGAGAAACAATGTTACAATTAAGTCGCGCGACACACCATGCTTCAGCAAAAACGATTGGTTTAAAATCAATTTAGGATAGATTAACACATATAAATAAGACGATGTAAAATGAGAAGACAATAAATCAGAAAATATGTATGACGAAATTAATTAGAACCAAACTTATTAAATAAATTAAATAAAAAATTAATTAACATTGCTAATAATTAGAACTTTATAAGAAATGAAAGAATATCGTCAGAGAATCCCTAAACAAAACGCGCATAAAAAGTGCCCTCTCCTTAGCATATAACCAGAGAGGTTTCGAATTCCACTCTGGCCGTGCCTTTATAATACGATAATTACCAGTTTAATTGCACGATTATGCGTTATAGTATAACTTGAGCCGTAATTCATTCTGGTGAACAACGCACCATGTAATAATCCATATTGTCGTGATTAGCTAATCAGTTTCGTATTACATTGCTAGTGTCATGGAAATAAAATACGGTTACTCAAGTCTACTTTATACTATCAATAATCCTCGCATGAGTATTTACGGTAGAATTTTGTCATAAAGTTTAAAATTAGTGTTGCGTTTAAAAAGAAATTTTTGTTCGCGTGTCGATCGGAAATTAAAATTGCATATAATTAACTATCTACATTTCGCTTGTTTGTTGTAAATTTACTGACTTAGCTAGAGATACAGTGTAACTAGATCCGAAACGGACTTTGGAGAATACAAGACTAGATCTTACGAGGAGTATCGCATATCCAGTAGTTTGTTTGAGCCCACGGCGAAACTCCACAAGATATCGTATAATACCGTCATTAAGAAATACCGCAATCGTTCTATTACATGCATAGCCTCCCGACAAAGCATAATAATACCAAGTAAATATGAACCTGTGGTATGTTTGTGCCACGAAGGAGCGAGCCGGCGATACATCGCGCGAAAGTAAAAATAACGCAGATATAAACTGTTTATATAGTTGTAGCTTAATTGATCGTAATGCATAAAGGCGGATAATTGGATGCAATCAGCCGCGAGCTCAGCTGTCGCAAAAATCGAGCGACGTCGATAAACAACAACGCGTCTATAATAATCCCGCCAGACGCGCGAAAAGAGGCTATGCAACGATCGATCCGCAAAAAAAAATCGACGATACCTCTTCTTCGACAACGGTGGAAACCAATTTAGTCGACGTTACATGAAATTTGGGAACTATCTACCCGTTGCACTACGCGCACTAATTGCTGTCGCTGGAGTGGCATCGCCGCTGGGATGAAACCGGGGACAAGAGTCGGCGGCGTTAATAGTTTCCGATACAACAGCAAACTCGCGAGATATATGATATCTATATTTTTATTGTTTAACAATCTGTTTCGATTTCATATTAACGTTCCTGTTTATATTATACATAGACTTGTTTATTTCAATAATAATTGTATGGCGTGCACAATAATTATATATATAATCTATAATTTATAATTTTATAATAATATAGAATGTTGAGAAAAAAATATACCCTGCATATTAATATATGTGAAAGAATATCTAAATATTCGATGTAATATAAACGATGTAACAACGAGAGAAAAAATATTAGTGAGATTTCTGATATATTTTTTTTTCATTTGTTTTATATAAATATAATTACAATTAAACTATGAGTATAGGCTCTCAAGATCAGTACTAATTAACATACAAATAGCAATTTAGAACCAGCGCTGGTTTCGAAGCGCATACTTTATATTAGTTATAAATTAGACATTAATTATAAATTAGACATTAAATGTATAATTTATAACTAATATAAAGTATGCGCCTCGAAACCAGTACTGGCTCTAAATTGTTATTTGTATGTTAATTAGTAAATATAACTAAATAAATAAATAAATAAAAAGTTGAGCAAAAAATAATTATCATGGCATAAATACATTTTAATTTTTCGCGACAAAGGTTCGATAATAGTTATGTCAAGAATACAAGACTCGCGCATGAACGTTATTTCATCGATGATAACCCAATGGTATTCGCAGCAGACACGATTGATCGGTTATAACCGTAGTATTTTTCGTTTTACGTATAGCAAAAAGCGACCGCAATATGTATATCGAGCCGTGTTTTATTCCCCTTTAAGGCACGTTCGGTCGAATACTTGTCCGATTTTTTTCCTCGTATGTGAAATACGCGACGACGAGCCAGGCCAAGTTTTGCACAATCCCGCACATTAAAAGTTTCGCGGATGAATAGCGCGCAAAGGGGGATTGGCCAGCTGGCGAAGTGGAAGTTTCCGGGATTGGTCGACGACGATGAATATAAATCAAATGTCGGCTGACTTTTTCCATTGTGAAGCATCTCCCGGTATAACTGACTCTCATTTTGCGTACTAATATCGATCGCAAACGACTTTCGAAGAATGCAGAATGTCCGTTGTTTGCGATGAAAATGCCTGGCTGGATGCCAGAAAACCGGTATAATCTCGACGAGTTCAGATTTGAATTATATAAACGGAACTCTAATGTCTATTTTAATAAACTTCTCTCTTTTAATGTTTTTTATCGCTTAAAAATTTTTATTTTATCACTAACTTTGCGCAGTATTTTTACGTAAGCTTCCAGCATTGAAAAATTGCGATTTCATTTCCTACAAGTTACTTTTTGTTTCTGCGTGTTTGTAATTCATATATTATTTCGTCACATTAAACATAACTGCCTGTTACGTTATTTATAGAGGTTCTAAAGTTACAAAGGCATGACGCTGTCCTAGATCTAACGAGCTTGCGAGATAGGCACTCTCATCGTTTTATAATTCCCGAGCGTCTCACGCGAGGAGAAACGCTAAGCGAAACGATAAAGGGACTGATGAATATGGATCGACGTTCGATCACTTGAATTTGCATGCACGGCCAGGTGAGGCAAGAACAACGTATCTTTAGACGTGCCTATATATCGACGGAATGCATTATTACGTCTCGTCCGTGAGGCACGTCAACGGAATAAAGATGGATCGCGCGCGCCTCTCTCTCTCTCTCTCTCTCTATCTGTCGAGAACATAATTTTCTATATATTACGCCTACAATACTACGGAACCATCGGTGATATGTATCGCCGGGTCATTCACAAGGAATCGATATCTCGACCTATCCCTCGATTCGACGACCGGTAACGAAGATGAAGATTCGACCGAGACTCCTTTCACACAGAAGCAACCAATCTCCTGGTTCCGCGTAACGGATCTATTAAAACTCTCGTCCGGCGAAATTGAGCTCATTACCGGCTGCTACCGGGTGTGGCTAAAGACCCGTCATCCTGATCCTGCCGCGAGACCGTATTATTTCGCCGCTGATGCGATACGAGCCGCGCCGCGCCATGCCGAGAGCTCGAAAGACTCACCGGTGGTGGAGTTGATGAGAAAATAACCCTCCGGATTGCCGCTGCTGATGGTGAAGACGAATTGCTGGGGCGAGACGTCGCGATCAAAGGCGCGGATCTGCAGGACGCTCACGCCGGCGGGCGAGTTCTCCGGCACGGAGGGATAGTAGACCGGAAGTTCGGTCAGCGGCGTGTTATCGTTCTCGTCCAGCACCTCGACGTAAACCTGCACACGCACGGAGAGTCGGCTTTGAATTATCCGTTAAATAAAAACGCGTGCGAAATTTATTTGCGATCGTAAGAAAAAGGCAAAATAAAATCGCGTCGTTTATTTATAATTCTTAGATTACCGCGATAGTTTTCCTTTACACATTAACTATTTTTTATACATTAATTATTTTTTATCATTAAATTAAATTTTATCATTAATTTTTATATTTACATGTATTTTTCCAAATTTACGAAGATATTTGTAAGACATGGAACGAAATTTATTGCTTAAGGAAAACGAAAAAAGATATAAAATCGAAATAAAAATACATGACATTTATAGCGCATCGAGTATAAATGATAGCATTAATTCCTTTACAAGAATACGATTTTGCGATTTTTTTCGGAAATCTCTAAAAATTACAAAATCTCGAAACTTACTTGCAGACTGGAACTCAATGGAACGACTCCATGATCCTGGGCGTAGACTGTCAACCAGTATCCCCTTTTTGTCTCGACGTCAAGCACAACTTTCGTCCTGATGTTTCCTGCAACAAGTATAGAATCGTGCAATTAACTCTCGGGAATGGAAATGTGAACATGACGTGCGAACGAACACGTCGCGATAATAACACTTGATCATCTATCTTTAATAATTTAAAAGAATTATCAATTTTCATTTCACGATCAGATACTATCTTGTATAATGAAATATATCTCAGGTGTACCCGTCAGGCGGCTTTTGGTATCAATATTAAAAATACGAAATAAAATCGTGAGACCTTTTGCACTCTCGCATTCGATATCCACATATCAAGACTCAAAATGAACGGAAAGCGGCCGGTTCGCGAACGGAAAAAAAAAAAAGGAGGCAGCGATATTTATTTCTCCACCTTGTGCAAAGTGGTCAGCAACAAGAGAGCCGAGAGGTATGCACGTCATCGCGCATATGCGTGCACCAACCGAGTGCGCGCGAACACGTCTTCGACACGGTTTTTTGCCGCGAATTCGCCGGATGCACCGGCGGTTTCTTGCTCGCGACCGATATTCCGCGTTCCGCGCTTCTCCTCGCGGTTTGTTTAATCATCGCCGGGATTAAAGAACGGCGGTATAAACGGCGGCTGGTGTCCGATTACGTTCTCGCGGCGGGAGTACCGGGGAGAGGAAGAATCGTAAAAGCCGTGGCCTCTTCGCTTACGATTTTTGGCGTCGATAATCAACGTCTTCCTCACGTCCGCGAGGTTTCGGTCGTCGTGCAATTAGCGAGACATCGAACTCGACGTTTCAACCGACGTCGATCGCCGACCGGGATAACGGACTCTCGATCGTCGAGTCTACCGGAACGTTAATTAATGAGCGTTAATTAGAAATCCGGGATTCGTAAGGATCGCCGCATGAATCATAAATTGTTCTTCCGGGGAGTTTTACCCACGCTCGTTTCTCTCTCCGCGCGTGTAACTTCGTACACTCGTATCACGATGTTGCGAATGCGCATCTTTGAAAAATGCACGCTGAGCCTCCTGTTAAGCGGTGGCATGCGAGATGGTTTTGTTGCCGCTTTTTCCTTGCAGCTTCCGCGCATCGTGTGCATGCTCAAATCCTAGCTGCAGTTTTCGTTGCAGGCTCTGTCCGTCTCGAGTTAGTGTACATGACAAGGGAAAAAAGGAGTACATATTTTATAATTTCCTTTATGTTGTGTAATCGCGTATACGCTGTTCGTTATAATTTTTTAGGGAAGGAATATTATATCACGAATAAAATATATTTCGCCATGCGCTATTTAATATTATCATCATTAAAAAATGCGACTTTAAATGAGGGCGAAAAAATTAGCTCCTCGACGATTAACTAAATATACCGTGGGAATTGTTAAATCTTAATTAACCGCAAATGAACGTTGCCATATATATAATGTGATGCGCTGCTATATTTCATCTCCCCCTTATACCATCGTTACCTTCGCGTTATACGTTCTTCTGTTCGTTCAACTAAAGCAGATGAAAACACGCGCTTAATAGAGGGCGAGCCGGCAAACGCATAAAATTTAGTACCGTAAACGCGACTTATATACAGCATTCACCGTCGTCATATAACGAAAGAACGAGCCTGGGCAACATGGTTCTGAGATTACAAAAATGAATTTTCTCGTAGTCTACGATGTAATTCCTACAAAAGAAAGAATATCCGACGGTCCGGTTGTCTCGAGAAACAATCTGCGACGATACGAAATGCAGATTTTTCCAAGAGGCATAACTCCCTTCTTGTTTCAATAAAAGTCGCGCAAATAAATATTCATTAAATGTTTAACCTCTCATGAATAACGCATGTGCTATAAATTGAGAAGAATGTTGGTTTGCGAAGAAATTTCTCGGTTCGCGGAATAATTTAGCACTTATTATTTTTGAAATTACGGAGATTCGATATTTACAAAGAGGTATTCGAGAGATGCAGAAATACGCACGATAAGTAGGATAAGGTAAAATACGTACACATGCGGAGAGATATAGAAAATTATTTCTTAAGAAATATTTTGTCGCGCGTATCCACATCCGTCCCAAGCGCATCCGCATCCGCAATCCGAGCTGCGAAATGCAGTCACGTTGTATTTCAATCGGATCTCATCACGATGAAGTACGTGGATACGTTGGCAACTCTCCCGGGTTCCTTCATGCTCATCCATCTGTTCAGATAGCTGATGAAGGCGCGCGTAGCATTTAATAGCGCGCCGGGGATCGTATTTAATGTGTGCTTGCGCGCGGATTGCGCGACAAACTCCCGCGATGAGAGCGAAATACAGCGACACACGGTATTATCAATGCAGTATAACGAAATTGCAAATTCACAAGATATTTGCCAGTGCTTTACAATTACATTGGACATATTCATAGCTGCAAACCTCGTGTAGAATGGCCGGAAGGATTTTATTCGAGAAAAAGATTAAGTTCTGCTCGATATCTTTATTCGTTCGTGGTTTATTGATGACTGATGACTTATTGTCTCGCGACAACCGGTACGGTTGTCACTAAGGTCAATATATATGTACATCTCTACAAAAACAAATAAAAGATTTGAAAAGTTTCCTACACTCGTAACGATTTTTATGTGTAATATGAGAAAATTAAAGCTAGAAATAAAATACGTATCACGCGATGTTTCTAGATACACGTATCGTATTGCGAGAGAAAAGGAACAGTAATCACGACAGCTGGTTAGCGATTTTTCCTCGCGCGAAACTTTTTCAGCTCGGTAAGAAGAACTCGGCATTCGACGGAGCTGCTTGGCGGAAACGGTCGATGGCTTTCCGAATAGAGAACGTGCCGCTATAATCGAACCCTCGGTCGTTTAATTTTTGGCCTCGAGAGCTGCTCCTTTCTCTCTTTCGCTCTTTTCATCCGGTCTTATCCGTCCTTCGTCCGTTACTCTCATCTTTCCTGAGAAATTTCTCCGAGTCTTAAACGCGACCTCGTGTCCGTCTGATCGTTAACCTAGATTCGTTACCGATATCTTCGGCATCATCTCGTTGGCGATACGCGACGTGAACGTTCGCGAAGCGTTAACAACGACTATCGTTCTCTCGACTGATCATCGTTGAGAGATGATTGATGCTCGATCGGATATCAAGGATTAATGAACGCTTGAAAAGCTGCAGCGCGAAAATTGATTATACCAATTGGAGCTTTATCTATTTCGCTGCTAGCATTGGAGATAGTGCTACGATTCATCAGAAATGGTTCAATTTTATTTAGTGCGCATTAGTAAATATAATGTCAGTAAAGGATATAAAATAACTACTATAAATTGAAGATAGCTCCGTCAATCTTGACGTATAAACGTTCAAATATGATCTGTCTGTAGATGTCTGAGGCTTTAAAACCTCTTTACGTACGTTGAAACGACCGTACTATTTTTGTGATATCAGCACTAATTAAATTATAATCTGGAGGATTTTAAACGCAACAAAAAGTTTCACGGGATTTAAACGCGAAAGGCAGGATTAATAGAGAAAGTTGACAAATAAAGACTTTCGAGATATACTTTTTTGCGATTACGAAAGTTCTTTTACTACTATAATCCATTTTCCCTCCATCTCAGCGCAAGAAAATTGTATCATACAAAGTTTAACATTTCGCGAATGCACACAGTACGAAAAAAAAATTCGAGCAAATTCCACATGCTATAATACGTTATCGCTCCTAATTAACTTTACATATTATTCGTGCGTAGAAGTCGCACACATTTAACGAGAATGTTGAGGAAAAAATACAAACTATAAATCACTAGTGTATAAAAGTGGGCCACTAGAAACGAAATTACGAGATATACGTGCCCGCTCAACCGGATTTCTCGGTACGCTCGAGATTCAGATTGCCGGGAGCATATCGTCAACAATTCGATTGAAATGCGTTTCCGTGGAAAGCTTTTAACCATTAGATTCGAGTAACGGTATATACACGCATATAAAAGAGCAATATATATATACCTTCTTGACTTTGCTTGGGATATAATGTCAAGACGAATAGTAAGAGCAGTATTTCGGATAAATTGAGGGAGAGAGAGAGAGAGAGAGAGAATTTATTAGATAGGGGCATGTTTTTTTGCTGTTCTGATTAAAACACCCTTATTAATAAATGAATGTCTACTTTTCGAGAAATATCGTAAAATGAGCAAGAGTTAAGAAAAATTTTTAAATTAAATATGCAATGAAAAGATAATGATTATATATTAATAAATAATGTGAAAATTTCCACCGTTGTGGGATTTGGCACGAACCAATTATATCTTCGAACAAACATTCCACAAAAAGGAGCACGTCTTCTTTTATGATTCTTGAAACTTTTCCGTAGCTTTGCGGGACTTTGTATAGTACTTCAACAAATTATTATACCTTTAACTCTACCGGGATGTCCAATCTTCTTGCATCGTGCCCTGCACCGTTCTATCGGTGGAGATAAACGGTTCCGCGTTTTTTCCGTTTTCACAACTTTTGTACGAGCTACTTACTAGTTTGTCTTTATCTTTATAGCCCTTTCGATAGCCGACGAGCTTCTGTACCAATTTAATCCGCACTTTTATCGGAAATCTACACGAACTAATAAAAAAATATCTCGCAGACGCTAAATAACAGAATTTATGTTAGTTTTGTGTTGGTAAAGAACATTATTTTCTTTTGTTATTTCAATTTAACACAATTGATAATAATACAACGTGTTTGTTGTCTTAAAAAAAGAAAAAGATATTTCAAATATTTAATTTAAAACATTCAAAATATTCATGTACTTTAATAGCGAATAATTATTCTTTTCGATTTTGTGACATTATTTACGTAAAAATTTTAAATTACGTAAAAATTATGAGAAATATAATTGAAACGTGATAGTTAAAAAATAAATAATATTCTACATAATATAATGATCTTTTATCATAGATTACAATATATATTTGTTATGCATGGCGCATCATCAAGGTTTAATATATATGCGTAAACAGTACACAATTACCTTTATGCTCAAATACAGTTTAGATAAATTTCAAGTATTTTCGAGTGGTA